TCATTTAACAACCTTCGATGAACTAAAAGATAGGGGCATTAGGCATCAGTGGATGTTGTCTTAAAAAGTGAGGAAACCAGGCATCGTGTGCCTCCTATGGTCTTGCCAAACACTGCCTAGTCTTGCCAGAGGGACCAAACCTGAGTCTAATTCAGTCTTGGGAGCAGCTACATATTCACAGGAGATATAGGGGACAGAGAAGCATGTTGAGTGGCACCAAGCAAAATCTAGACTCTGGGAAGGTATGCAAGTCAAAAGGATTCTTCAACAGGTTGGGTAAAGCAGTGATGGAGGAGGAGATAGGACGAAAGGGTAGTGCTAAACTCTAGGGATGCACAATTGGGTGATCATTATAAACTTCAGGATCTGGGAGGGCTGTGACTGGGAAGGGTGGCAAGACTCTATTTCTTGTTCTGGTAGTGGTAACAAGAATGTTCACCTTAGACTGAGGTATGTATTTGTTTGTTTGTTTGTTTTTTGATATTTGTTTTATTTTGTAGTTAAAAAAAAAAAGTTCTAAGGACAACATAAGCCTGGAGCTGACTCCTTCCATATGTGGAGAGCTGCTTTGGGAATGAAACCTCCCCCGAGGTTTCATAGGCTTAGAGATAGAATGTGAGACATAAAGCCCATGATCTTGTTTGATTAAATGTATCTAGCCATTTCTGAAGCTTGATACACCCATGACATTTCCAGTGACATGAACCAACAGTCCCTTTTCATTCACACAGCTTTGGTTGATAACTCAGAGTCCATCCACTTATCTGTAGAGACACAGAAGACTGGCAAATGTTTCTCAAGGGATTGCTGGTTTTGTTGGACTTTTGGTGATTGCTTTGACTGTCTGCCATTACTCACATTCACTGCTACAGAGAGCCAAACCTCTGCTTCATTCTCTTGATGCTCTTGAAAGCTTTATTCCATATTTTATAACCGTGCGGTCCATTGTTATTCACCGAGGCAAGGTTTGTTCTGACCTTGAGGATCAGCAGAACTCACTGAGGGAGGGGGTGGAAAGGAATGTTCTGCCAAAAGCAGATAAAAATTCTGCTGCCAGGAACAGTTGGCACATTTGCTGGGTTAGTCTGAGGCAGCCTAGGGGAAGTAAGGGACATTTCAGGTTCCATTCATTCATTCATCATATTATTTATTGGTTTCCAGGTACTGAACATGACTGCCCCAGGCTCAGTTTTCAGGAGACTCACAGCTGGGGCTCAAGGGGTGGGGTGAAGAGCTATGTGGCACAACCTGGGGAGCTCTCAGGACCTCCTTGTCTCTGATCTGATTCATCTCCCTCTTCCAGATTCTGAAATTTTTATTATTCGAGTTTATTCTTAATATTATTGCATTGCTCTCAGGAAATCTGATTTAGAATGCAAAAAATGTGTTTAAAATGTGTTAACTAGAGGGATGAGCATGCTTTAGGACACATTATCACTATGGTGAAGAGTAGGAGAGGACGGAAACATTTTGATGAGAGGGCAGCCTTTGGGAAGAGTCTGCAGACCTGGGCAGCCAGGAGGTGTTGTCTAAGGTAAGAGAGGAGGATGGCCATGGGAGAGAGGGTAGAGGAAAGAGAAGTTGAGAAGTGCCTATTATTTCATCAGTTTTCTCAAATTTTGGTAGTACGCATGCCATGAGTATCTCTCCCTGTTAGGGAAGTGGGACTTCTTTTGTATGCTAGGCTTTGAAGTCAGACAGACCTGTGTTTGCATTCCAGCCTTGCTTCTTACTGGCTGGTGACTTGTACCAAGTCACTTCTAAATTCTCAGCCTCAGTTTCCTTATCTATATAATACAGAGAGAGTATTGACTTTATTGGATGATTGAGGAGTAAAAGACACTAAGGTATATAAAGAGTTGAGTACAGAGTCCCAGCACGTTGGTTTTCTTCAGTGAATCTTAGGTCCTGTGCTTGGTTGAAGAATCCCGGTCCTTTGCTGGCAGTCAGGTCAGAGGTAAGAAACTTAAAATGGCTCTTCAGACTAGCTTTACAAACAGACCTTGTTTTAGGGGGGGAAGTTCTATCCTTTCAAAAAAAAGGAAGAAAGTAAAACCTAGCCCAGTCTCATTCAGTTGACATTCTATAAACATATTAGTCGATTCTCTTCTACTTTTTTTGTAATTTTTCTCTTACTTGTCTATTACTTTAGCCCCTATTAAGCCAGACCCTAACTAACCCCCTTAATGTGCAAGATCAGGAGGCATAGTGTTCTTCCCTTCCATTTGTTTTTGTTTTCTCAAAGTGTATCAGCTTCTGGTGACTAAGGCAATTAGGAAATAAGGGGAGTTTCCTTTTCTGGACAATAGATTAAAAATTAAAAATTTAAAAACATTTAAAACAATGATGTATTGAGTACTAGCTGTGGCCAGGCCTCTGCATTTCACATGGTTTCTTCAGCCTTTACAATAACCCTGTGAGGGGAGATTATTATCTTAGATTTACAGAGCCTTACAGGGTTGTTTTGAGGATTAAATGAAATAGTGTTTGAAAACTGCTTAAAACATCTAGATTCAATAGACATTAGCTGTCATTATTATTGTTATTTTTCAGTGAGGAAATTGAGGCTCAGATTGGTCAAGATACCTACCCTAAAGTCACCCAGCTAGAAGGTTGAAGAAGGATCCCAGTCTTGCTGCCCTTAAAGTCATAGTGGAGAGGTCCACTATTTCACATCTTGGTTGAAATGACAAAATATTAGTTCAAACAGTGACAAAATTTTCAACTCCATTTTAATGTTCACCATAATTTTGGGCCAGCAAATTCTCCCTTGCTGATATTCTCCTTCTCCAGACTCCATCTTCATTCCTTACCAGCACCCAGAGCACAACCTCCCAACTCAGCTGCTCTCCCAGACCCATGTGCCATTTTTCCTCACACCAGTAGTGAGTACTACGGTGAGCATCTATGGTGTGCCCTGCCCTTCCCCTTGGTGCCCTGAATAGTTCTAGGTATCTGGTACTGATCCAAGCCTGGCAGTCAGCACTTTTTTCCCTAGGACTTTTCAAACTTGAATTAAGAGCATTAGTCCCTTTCTAGTCTTGGAAATAGTAAGATGTAAAACTTGGGATGCCATGTTTCTAGATATATGAAGAAAACCAGTCTTGAGAAACTGAAGGTGATGCAGCAAGGGAAGCAAAGAAGAAGCAACAGTTCCAGTGGTGCTCAAGCTCCTGATTCCACAAGTTCAGCTCATTGTCACCCACTCCCCACCCCCACCCCAACTTTAGTTTGATTGTTGAACCCTTTTTTGGAATCCTTGAGCTAATTCTTCTTCACTTTTGCCCAAGCAAGTTCAGGTTGGGCTTCTGTCACTTGCAACCAAGTCCTGGGTAACCTAAGCACCACATAACCACAAAGAATTTGGATTGTGTGTTGATCCTGAGCGTATTTTTGCTTAGCTGGTCTTTGTGTCTGGAACATTCTGTATTTCCACATGTTCAAAGCTAATCATGCAAATTTCAAGGCCTCACTTCTCATGAACAATCCCCCATCCAACCTGATGGAATTCAACTACGCTTCTTAATAAGTTCCCCAGTCCTTTAAAAGGGAGAAAGTTCTCTTGTTGTACTCAGACCTTTCTAATTTGGGTTACAGTTATTTGTACATACACCCTCTCTACTATTATCTTTCCAGAACAAAGATATGCTTTGCTCATCTTTCCCCACTGTGCTACACAGTGTCTGGCATGGATAGCACTGTACAAATGTTAGTGCCCTTCTTCTTCTTCTCTTCACTGTAGGCACATTTTTTCCTGTAGTTTCACTTTCTTTCCCATAAAAAACATTCCATTCCCTGATGCTGAGTGCGAAAATGTTCAGTTGTGTCTGCCTCAGGCAGTTGTGTTTTGATGAAACAATATTAATAAACTGTTATATAATAATTTGTCTAAAAATGGTTACTGCACTGTAGGCTTAAGGAACTAGTGAGATAGGTCATTAATACTGTTTAGATGGTAGGTTGTCCTGGTATATGTGGTATTTTTAGAATACGGATTTCAAGTGGGAACCCGGTAAGGTTTGCGTTCAGCAAGAGACTCCATTTCCAAAAGGACTACCTGACAATCTTGTGGTCCCATTTTTAGTATCCCTGCTTCCCTTCAAATCTCTTCAGTAGGTCAGTTATTTGTGAGCAAGACAAGAAGTATAAGTGTGTTTTTATATGTAAACACACTTAAAAAAATTCTAGGCAACTTTTGTGGCTTGGGGTTGGTGTTTTGAGAACACATTATTATAAGAATATGTAACTTTTTACATTTAGCTGTCAGCTCCCCTCTCAAATTCTACCACCTGGATAAAGTTCTCTGTCCAGCAATCTCTTCTCTTCTCTTTTCTGAGTTCTGGGAAAATTTATTGTTCTGCACCATCTTTCAGCTTGTATCATACTGTTTTTCATCAATGGCTGGTTTTTTTTGTGTGTGTTTGTGTGTACAAGTCTTTGTCTGCCAGAATTATTTTAACTGGTCCTGGGGTTTGGTCAATTTCAAATTTTTTGGTACCCAGCAAAAATTGTTAATGGTTACACTGTTTAAAGGACAATGTATTCCAGAGGACCTATTAAAATACCTGTCATACATCTATGTATACAGTAAACATCTTGCCCTTCCTTTGTGTCTTCCTTCCCTGGAGCAGTAGGGTAGAATAAACAAGTCCCAGAGGTTGGACACCTAACTTTATAATTTTGCTCATTCAAGCAATGAAAAAATAAAGGGGGATAGGATCCCCATTATTGATTACTTAGCTATCTTTTCATGGATATTTATTTCCATCTTTAGTTTTTAAGACCCAGAGGGCATAGACCTACTTTGTACAGCCTAGAGCTCAAGCACGATGTCTAATAGCCAGTAGGCACCAATAAATTTGAGAAATGATTGAATACACACTCTGGAGTTTCTTTGTGGGGAACATGGTTAATGAAGTTTAACAGCTATTTCAGTCTTTTTGTAAAGAAGTGGAATATAAATATGTAAATAAAAATAAGGTATTGTTATCACATTTTGGAAATAATTCTTGGCCTCTGATCTGCCATATTACCTGGATCAGAAAGGTTGGCTGAAGAGAATTGTTGGGGACCAAGTATGTGAGGTAGAATGCATTATTTTTTTCTGGTGTTTAAACACAAGCTGTAAAACAAATATTTCTAATTAACATACTGAGGCTGGGAGTTTTTGTTTGCGGAGTTGAAGAATGAACTTAGCAAACACGCAAGGTAGGAGAGCCAGGGAGAGACTTTTATTTAGAGATACAGTGAGAGGACAGAGCTCCTGGCTCATGCCAGGAGGGAACAAGGAAGCCCGGGGTGGTGCGTTGTCTAGGGGATTTATAGGCAGTTGAGGATTTTTGGGAACTGGTAAAGGGGTTAGGGTGTAGACCTGTTAAAAGTGACCTTAGGATGTTTGTCCTTGATGAGACATTAAGTCCCTTTTAGCATGCTAAAGTGAATCTTACACATGATTACAAACGATTAGCATAATAAAAACATGGGCTACTTTCCTTTATTTGGGGAGTATCAATGGATCTCACTGAAGAATGACTCTAGAGCTTAATATTTAACACAGTTTTGGTAGGGGGTTTCCTTGCATGTAATTACATTGCTCTGACTGTAAATATCCTGCCTTGCTTTTTCCGGAGGCCCTTTGCCTACTCTATCTAAGCCCACAGTCCCTGTCAACACCACTGATTTTTTTCCTGTTAATTTCATCTTTCTTCAAAGCTAATGGGTATATATAATGCCTCCACATCACAGACTCTTCTAATGGTTTAGGAGATGTGAGTTTTATTAGAATAAAGCAGAATTCACAACCCACAACAAAGCAATTTGTTGAAGTTAATCTGGAGTTGATTTATGAATCATTCTTCATGAAATGGCTGGATCCCTATTACATGTGCTATCCCTCTAAATCTCCTTTCCACGAAGTGCTTCAGCTTTGTCCTTCCTCTTGCTCTCTATCCTTCCCCAGCATACCCTTGTCACTTTCACTTTCTTCACATGGTATTATCATTATCTATTCTTTCCCCTCCTTTCTATTTCCTTCCGTTAGACTATAAACTCCTTGGGGGCAGGTACTAAAGCTTGCTCAACTTAGTATACTCAGTGCCTTGCAAATGTGCCTGGTTTATGATAGAGATTCAACTAAGATCTGTTAAATGAATGAATGAATGATAATACGCTCACATTTATATAATGCATTAGGCTCACAAAGTACTTTCCTATGTTTTTGACTCCCATGATACTCTGAGGCAGACAGGAAACCCATTATCATTCCTATTTACAGATGTGAAAAGAGGTTCAGAAAAGTTGTGTAACCTAAGGGCAAATAGGCTGCAACTTAAGGAGACACCAGGATTCACAATTGTTTATTCCAATTGTTGACTACTTCTCTGGAGCCCTTTTCTGAACATAGGGAACTCTAAGCCAAAGGCAAAACAAACATTCCCTGAACCCTTTTAACCTTCTCCCTGTTCTGCCTCCTTTCATTTCTGACTTAGCCGTTTTTATTTATATAGACACATACTGCCTATGTGCAAATGAAAGATGAAAATTACATACTCTTCATCAATTTTCCAGTTCCTCTGCTTGGGACCTCCTGACTGAGATACAGGACTGTGGAATATGTGGCAAGAAATGGGGGGCGGGGGGATGTGTATGTGTGGGAAAACATGTAGCTGAGTGGTATGGCCAGAGTGTGCTGCTCAGAGGACTATGAGGGCAAGGGCCTGCCATGCTGAGGCCTTGACCTTGAGTTCCCCATATCCCTCGCCTCTCATCTCCAACATTTTTCTCTAGGGGTAATCTGGATAAATGAAATGTAGAGTTGAGAGGATAATGCTGACAATGATTCCAGCAGATGTTGACTGAAGTATTAAGGAGTGTTTAGGATATGGAGTGGTCAAGATGACAGTGGAAAGTAGTCAGGGCTTACTTGCTGACACTATCTGCATTTAATAATTGTATGCAATTGGACTGAATTGCATACAATTCTCCTTTCCATATTGCCCTGAGGGTGGAAGCTAAGAAAAGGGCAAAGGAGGGAGTCTTTCAAATGGCCTTTAAAATAAGAAGAGTCCTTTTCTTGAAAGAGAATGGCCAAAAGCAGTACACTTTTACAAATCCAAGAAAAATGGACTGTTGTGGGATGCTTGTGAGTGGCACAGATGACTACATCATCAGCAACTTAAAATGAGAATGACATGGGAGCTTACTGGCCTTGTCTTAAGCTTCATGTAATATCCAGCTCCTAAAGCACTATCAACAATGACAGGACTCCATATACATGATAAAAAGGAGTTTGGTTCAGAGTTGCAGGGAAGTCAGAGTGAAAACAAAGTCAAGAAAGCAAGCAAGAAAGTATTATACTCTGTAACAGAGTGCCTCTTTACATGAATCTATGTGCTCTTCCTGGGTGTCGAGGAGCAAGGTAGCTGGATTTAGAGTTGAGCATGTAGCTTTGGTAGTATCAGGTTTTCCAACAGCATGGCTTGATATTTAAGGAGTCTATTGTCAGACAGCCATCAGAATCAATTGTATTGTAGGTCAGGAATATTATGAGGTATAAACCTGGATGGGAACCCCTAGGGTTAGTTTGAAGCTTCTTATAGCAAGAGAGTAAGGGCCCCAATGGCTCTAAAACAGGAAGGCTATCCCTGCACCATGGGGTTGAGTCTTTTTGACGAATAGGCCATAGGTTGATGAGTTGGGCTTAGCTATTGAGTTAGAACTCCAAGGGCTACTCCTTGTCTTTTATGGGAGTAGTTGGAATGGCCTGACTGGGTTTGGGAGGGGCCTGTGTCAACAGGTCCTTAAGCAGATCGACAGCTTTTTACTGTGGTGGTCCCTAGTCTAAAGGTTTAGAGTCATTTTAGGACTTCATAGAGAGACTGTGCAATAAGTCCATAATTTGAGATTCACCATCTGCAATACCATGTCAGTCCTAGGAATGCCCAGAGTTGTTTGCAAGTAGTAGGTTGGGAGTGTGAGATAATGGCGTGAATTCAGCCTGGAGAAAGGCCTTTCTTTCCTGGAGTAAGGATTATTCCCAGGTAACTGACCTTTTGTTGTACTAACTGAGCTTTGGCCCTTGAAACTTTATACCCCTGCTCAGTTAAGAAATTAAGGGTTTGAATAGTATGATTGATGGAGTCTTGTTTTGTGGGAGAACAGATGAAAAGATCATCTATATATTGTATGAGTATGCCCCGCTGTTTAGGTGCTGGTGGGCTAGGTCTTGGGATAAGGCTTGTCCAAATAGATGAGGACTGTCTCTTAATTCTTTGGGGAGAACAGTCCAAGTTAGTTGGCCAGAGTTGTTTTCTGGAGTGGTCCATTCGAAAGCAAATCATGATTTTGATTGTTTTTCTAAAGGGATGCAGAAAAAGGCATCCTTGAAATTTGGGGTCATGAACCATGAGGTGTCAGGTAGAATGGTTCCTAATAGAGTACTGAGGTGGCATATTTAGCCCTTCCTGGGATTCCCTTATCCCAAATGTCAGGATCAACAGACTATTCCCAGTATTGAAAAGCTGATGAGGGGGTTTTGGGAATGACCAGAAGTTGAAGAGGAGCCTGACTGGCCGGGGGAAAGCTGAAAATCATCCTGGTGTGCAATTTTTCTAGTATGTCTCATCCCAGGAGGGAAATGAGGCATTCTTTCATGACTAAAAATGGGTGTGAAAAATAATGGCTATGGAGGGGGCATTCTAGGGGCGGAGTGAAGGTTCGAGTAGTAGGAGTTCCTGTCACTCTGAGTATCATACAAGTTTGGGAGGACAGGGGTCCAAATAGGAATTGAGGACAGAGTAGGAGGCCCTGGTGTCAATTAAAAAGAAAACTGTCCTATCTGCCAAAACTGTCCATGGTTACCCTTGGCTCTAGTCCAGTGATGTCGATGTCATGGGTTGGGGCTGACCTGCCAGGGCCTCCTCATTCCTGCAAAAGAAGCTCAAGGACCATGGGTGGCTCCAGTAGCTACTAGGACAACTCTTTGCCCAGTGCCTGGTCCTCCAACAGATAAGTATATCCTCCTCCTACTTACTTTCTTAGAATTCTCTTCGAGTCCGTGGACATGGAAGTAGACTGGGCCGCAAGGGCGGCTAGTAGCTGAGTATGTCAGGTCTCCTTTCTTGTTTCCCTTTCCGGAGCCCCAGCCTCTTCCTGATCACGGCCATGGAACACAGTACTGACCAGTCAGGAGTTCATCTACACTGCTATTGGGGTTTATCTGGATCTGTTTTTGTAATTTTTTTCTGATGTCAGATGTTGACTGAGAGAGGAATTTATCTCTCTATTACTTGTCCTTCATATAAGTCTAAATCTAGATTAGTATATTCAGTGAGGTTGTCTCACAGGCTTTCTCAGAAAGTAATTGGATTTTCCTCCAGCCCCTGACTAATGGCTGCAGCCTTTGAATAGCTAATAACTTTCTGCCTGGTGTTTTTTAGCCCTGTCTTTATGGAAAGGAGGAAGTGGTTTCTGTCCCACATCGCTTCTTTGTCATTAAAACCCTAGTTAGGATCTATAGAGGGAATAAGCTGTTTCCCCAATGGGAAATTTAGTGTCTGACAAATGGAGGCTACTGGCAAATTTAAGGGCTTGCTTAATAACTCTCTTGTTCAGGGTCAGAGAGAGTCTGTCCCAGGAGTATCATGACGTTCTTCCAGGGGAGGTCATAAGCTAGGCTGATATATTGGAATTGATCAATATAGTTATCTGGATTGGTAATATAGCTGCCAAGATCAGCCTTAAGCTGTTTTAATTGTTAGTGAAAAAGGTTTATGGACTAGTACAGTGCCAAATTCTCTGCCTGCTGTTTCCACTAGTGGGAGAACTTTAGCAGGTGCCTTTGGGAGTGAATTTGAGTACTTGGGACTTGGTACTTGATGGCTCTGTGAGGTTAGCTGTGAAGTTTGCCCTTGGGTGATCCTGAGTACTGGGGTGCGGGTAAAGCAGGGAGAGAAGCAGAGGGTGGACGGACAAATCTAACTTACAAGTATTGCAGAGATTCTCCCAGCTTCTAAGATAGAAGAAAACCTGAATATATGGGATCTGTCTACCCAGGTGTTTGCAGAAGAGGTCAAGCTGAATGAAGGTGTTAGGGTTAAGAGTTCCATTAAGAGGCTATTGCTCCTGGTCCCCTAGTTGATACTGGGGCCAAGCTGTGTTGCAGAAGAATACCAGTCTTTTCTTTTTGAGTGTCTCTGGATCTATCTGGGACCAATGAGAAAGGATACAGCCCAATGGTGTAGTAGGTAGAATAGACTCCTGGATACCCATCTAGGAAGAAATGAATAGGTTAGAGAGCCTAGTATCCCAGGGTCTATCCCAGAGGTCTTGGTGTCCCAAGATTTGGAAATCTATTACTATTTTTGGATGTCTCCGAGTATAGGACAGAGGACAAGAGACTGGTGGCTTTCTAGTTTAGGGCTTTGGGCGCCTTACCACATCTGAGGTGGTCCCACAAGATGGAGACAGTGGAGATCAAGGCTGACAGAATATCTTTGTGGCAGCCAGAAGGAGGTTCAATCAAGTGGAAAACTGGAAAAGCAAAGAGTGTTGGATGACAAAAACCTATTTATGAGGTGGCCAGGGGTTAGACTTGGGTGTGATTTACTGTGTGCCTCGGTGTATGGATACTGACTTGCAGATGGTGGGAAGCCTAGTGCATCTGCCCCAATCCATGATCATGAGAGTTTTCTGGTGGCAGCCATGCTAGTGGCATTTAAGTGGCTGACCTGTGCCTGCTTTTTGGCCAGAACCACTGCCCAACAGAAAATGAAAGTAAGAGTGACTTACCACTGCTGAGTTACAGCACTAAATATGGTAAGAAGGGGTTCTGTTTGGAGTCGCAGGTAGTCAGATAGAATGAAACCAAAGTCAAGAAAGCAATCAAGAAATTTTATTACACTCTGTAACAGAGTGGGCCCTGCCCTAATGTCTGACATGCCCCAACTGCCCACTGTGAGGCCTCTTTTATGAAATTGTTGGCAGGGCAGAGAATTTCTTGATTGACAGTTCTTGGCCATTCTAGGTCTGATCTGACTGGTGAAATGAGGGCATAGGCTGCGCTGTGCCTGTACTCTGATGTTTTTTTTCTGGGGAGACCCTGGACATTTCCTGAGTCACTCTTGTCCTGTGGCTTCATCTGATTAACTTCCTGAGTAATTTCTGGCTCTCTGGCTTTATCCGATTAACTCCAAGTCTGCAGTTGAGGATTTTTGGGAACTGGTAAAGGGGTTAGGGTGTAGACCTGTTAAAAGTGACCTTAGGATGTTTGTCCTTGATGAGACATTAAGTCCCTTTTAGCATGCTAAAGTGAATCTTACACATGATTACAAACGATTAGCATAATAAAAACATGGGCTACTTTCCTTTATTTGGGGAGTATCAATGGATCTCACTGAAGAATGACTCTAGAGCTTAATATTTAACACAGTTTTGGTAGGGGGTTTCCTTGCATGTAATTACATTGCTCTGACTGTAAATATCCTGCCTTGCTTTTTCCGGAGGCCCTTTGCCTACTCTATCTAAGCCCACAGTCCCTGTCAACACCACTGATTTTTTTCCTGTTAATTTCATCTTTCTTCAAAGCTAATGGGTATATATAATGCCTCCACATCACAGACTCTTCTAATGGTTTAGGAGATGTGAGTTTTATTAGAATAAAGCAGAATTCACAACCCACAACAAAGCAATTTGTTGAAGTTAATCTGGAGTTGATTTATGAATCATTCTTCATGAAATGGCTGGATCCCTATTACATGTGCTATCCCTCTAAATCTCCTTTCCACGAAGTGCTTCAGCTTTGTCCTTCCTCTTGCTCTCTATCCTTCCCCAGCATACCCTTGTCACTTTCACTTTCTTCACATGGTATTATCATTATCTATTCTTTCCCCTCCTTTCTATTTCCTTCCGTTAGACTATAAACTCCTTGGGGGCAGGTACTAAAGCTTGCTCAACTTAGTATACTCAGTGCCTTGCAAATGTGCCTGGTTTATGATAGAGATTCAACTAAGATCTGTTAAATGAATGAATGAATGATAATACGCTCACATTTATATAATGCATTAGGCTCACAAAGTACTTTCCTATGTTTTTGACTCCCATGATACTCTGAGGCAGACAGGAAACCCATTATCATTCCTATTTACAGATGTGAAAAGAGGTTCAGAAAAGTTGTGTAACCTAAGGGCAAATAGGCTGCAACTTAAGGAGACACCAGGATTCACAATTGTTTATTCCAATTGTTGACTACTTCTCTGGAGCCCTTTTCTGAACATAGGGAACTCTAAGCCAAAGGCAAAACAAACATTCCCTGAACCCTTTTAACCTTCTCCCTGTTCTGCCTCCTTTCATTTCTGACTTAGCCGTTTTTATTTATATAGACACATACTGCCTATGTGCAAATGAAAGATGAAAATTACATACTCTTCATCAATTTTCCAGTTCCTCTGCTTGGGACCTCCTGACTGAGATACAGGACTGTGGAATATGTGGCAAGAAATGGGGGGCGGGGGGATGTGTATGTGTGGGAAAACATGTAGCTGAGTGGTATGGCCAGAGTGTGCTGCTCAGAGGACTATGAGGGCAAGGGCCTGCCATGCTGAGGCCTTGACCTTGAGTTCCCCATATCCCTCGCCTCTCATCTCCAACATTTTTCTCTAGGGGTAATCTGGATAAATGAAATGTAGAGTTGAGAGGATAATGCTGACAATGATTCCAGCAGATGTTGACTGAAGTATTAAGGAGTGTTTAGGATATGGAGTGGTCAAGATGACAGTGGAAAGTAGTCAGGGCTTACTTGCTGACACTATCTGCATTTAATAATTGTATGCAATTGGACTGAATTGCATACAATTCTCCTTTCCATATTGCCCTGAGGGTGGAAGCTAAGAAAAGGGCAAAGGAGGGAGTCTTTCAAATGGCCTTTAAAATAAGAAGAGTCCTTTTCTTGAAAGAGAATGGCCAAAAGCAGTACACTTTTACAAATCCAAGAAAAATGGACTGTTGTGGGATGCTTGTGAGTGGCACAGATGACTACATCATCAGCAACTTAAAATGAGAATGACATGGGAGCTTACTGGCCTTGTCTTAAGCTTCATGTAATATCCAGCTCCTAAAGCACTATCAACAATGACAGGACTCCATATACATGATAAAAAGGAGTTTGGTTCAGAGTTGCAGGGAAGTCAGAGTGAAAACAAAGTCAAGAAAGCAAGCAAGAAAGTATTATACTCTGTAACAGAGTGCCTCTTTACATGAATCTATGTGCTCTTCCTGGGTGTCGAGGAGCAAGGTAGCTGGATTTAGAGTTGAGCATGTAGCTTTGGTAGTATCAGGTTTTCCAACAGCATGGCTTGATATTTAAGGAGTCTATTGTCAGACAGCCATCAGAATCAATTGTATTGTAGGTCAGGAATATTATGAGGTATAAACCTGGATGGGAACCCCTAGGGTTAGTTTGAAGCTTCTTATAGCAAGAGAGTAAGGGCCCCAATGGCTCTAAAACAGGAAGGCTATCCCTGCACCATGGGGTTGAGTCTTTTTGACGAATAGGCCATAGGTTGATGAGTTGGGCTTAGCTATTGAGTTAGAACTCCAAGGGCTACTCCTTGTCTTTTATGGGAGTAGTTGGAATGGCCTGACTGGGTTTGGGAGGGGCCTGTGTCAACAGGTCCTTAAGCAGATCGACAGCTTTTTACTGTGGTGGTCCCTAGTCTAAAGGTTTAGAGTCATTTTAGGACTTCATAGAGAGACTGTGCAATAAGTCCATAATTTGAGATTCACCATCTGCAATACCATGTCAGTCCTAGGAATGCCCAGAGTTGTTTGCAAGTAGTAGGTTGGGAGTGTGAGATAATGGCGTGAATTCAGCCTGGAGAAAGGCCTTTCTTTCCTGGAGTAAGGATTATTCCCAGGTAACTGACCTTTTGTTGTACTAACTGAGCTTTGGCCCTTGAAACTTTATACCCCTGCTCAGTTAAGAAATTAAGGGTTTGAATAGTATGATTGATGGAGTCTTGTTTTGTGGGAGAACAGATGAAAAGATCATCTATATATTGTATGAGTATGCCCCGCTGTTTAGGTGCTGGTGGGCTAGGTCTTGGGATAAGGCTTGTCCAAATAGATGAGGACTGTCTCTTAATTCTTTGGGGAGAACAGTCCAAGTTAGTTGGCCAGAGTTGTTTTCTGGAGTGGTCCATTCGAAAGCAAATCATGATTTTGATTGTTTTTCTAAAGGGATGCAGAAAAAGGCATCCTTGAAATTTGGGGTCATGAACCATGAGGTGTCAGGTAGAATGGTTCCTAATAGAGTACTGAGGTGGCATATTTAGCCCTTCCTGGGATTCCCTTATCCCAAATGTCAGGATCAACAGACTATTCCCAGTATTGAAAAGCTGATGAGGGGGTTTTGGGAATGACCAGAAGTTGAAGAGGAGCCTGACTGGCCGGGGGAAAGCTGAAAATCATCCTGGTGTGCAATTTTTCTAGTATGTCTCATCCCAGGAGGGAAATGAGGCATTCTTTCATGACTAAAAATGGGTGTGAAAAATAATGGCTATGGAGGGGGCATTCTAGGGGCGGAGTGAAGGTTCGAGTAGTAGGAGTTCCTGTCACTCTGAGTATCATACAAGTTTGGGAGGACAGGGGTCCAAATAGGAATTGAGGACAGAGTAGGAGGCCCTGGTGTCAATTAAAAAGAAAACTGTCCTATCTGCCAAAACTGTCCATGGTTACCCTTGGCTCTAGTCCAGTGATGTCGATGTCATGGGTTGGGGCTGACCTGCCAGGGCCTCCTCATTCCTGCAAAAGAAGCTCAAGGACCATGGGTGGCTCCAGTAGCTACTAGGACAACTCTTTGCCCAGTGCCTGGTCCTCCAACAGATAAGTATATCCTCCTCCTACTTACTTTCTTAGAATTCTCTTCGAGTCCGTGGACATGGAAGTAGACTGGGCCGCAAGGGCGGCTAGTAGCTGAGTATGTCAGGTCTCCTTTCTTGTTTCCCTTTCCGGAGCCCCAGCCTCTTCCTGATCACGGCCATGGAACACAGTACTGACCAGTCAGGAGTTCATCTACACTGCTATTGGGGTTTATCTGGATCTGTTTTTGTAATTTTTTTCTGATGTCAGATGTTGACTGAGAGAGGAATTTATCTCTCTATTACTTGTCCTTCATATAAGTCTAAATCTAGATTAGTATATTCAGTGAGGTTGTCTCACAGGCTTTCTCAGAAAGTAATTGGATTTTCCTCCAGCCCCTGACTAATGGCTGCAGCCTTTGAATAGCTAATAACTTTCTGCCTGGTGTTTTTTAGCCCTGTCTTTATGGAAAGGAGGAAGTGGTTTCTGTCCCACATCGCTTCTTTGTCATTAAAACCCTAGTTAGGATCTATAGAGGGAATAAGCTGTTTCCCCAATGGGAAATTTAGTGTCTGACAAATGGAGGCTACTGGCAAATTTAAGGGCTTGCTTAATAACTCTCTTGTTCAGGGTCAGAGAGAGTCTGTCCCAGGAGTATCATGACGTTCTTCCAGGGGAGGTCATAAGCTAGGCTGATATATTGGAATTGATCAATATAGTTATCTGGATTGGTAATATAGCTGCCAAGATCAGCCTTAAGCTGTTTTAATTGTTAGTGAAAAAGGTTTATGGACTAGTACAGTGCCAAATTCTCTGCCTGCTGTTTCCACTAGTGGGAGAACTTTAGCAGGTGCCTTTGGGAGTGAATTTGAGTACTTGGGACTTGGTACTTGATGGCTCTGTGAGGTTAGCTGTGAAGTTTGCCCTTGGGTGATCCTGAGTACTGGGGTGCGGGTAAAGCAGGGAGAGAAGCAGAGGGTGGACGGACAAATCTAACTTACAAGTATTGCAGAGATTCTCCCAGCTTCTAAGATAGAAGAAAACCTGAATATATGGGATCTGTCTACCCAGGTGTTTGCAGAAGAGGTCAAGCTGAATGAAGGTGTTAGGGTTAAGAGTTCCATTAAGAGGCTATTGCTCCTGGTCCCCTAGTTGATACTGGGGCCAAGCTGTGTTGCAGAAGAATACCAGTCTTTTCTTTTTGAGTGTCTCTGGATCTATCTGGGACCAATGAGAAAGGATACAGCCCAATGGTGTAGTAGGTAGAATAGACTCCTGGATACCCATCTAGGAAGAAATGAATAGGTTAGAGAGCCTAGTATCCCAGGGTCTATCCCAGAGGTCTTGGTGTCCCAAGATTTGGAAATCTATTACTATTTTTGGATGTCTCCGAGTATAGGACAGAGGACAAGAGACTGGTGGCTTTCTAGTTTAGGGCTTTGGGCGCCTTACCACATCTGAGGTGGTCCCACAAGATGGAGACAGTGGAGATCAAGGCTGACAGAATATCTTTGTGGCAGCCAGAAGGAGGTTCAATCAAGTGGAAAACTGGAAAAGCAAAGAGTGTTGGATGACAAAAACCTATTTATGAGGTGGCCAGGGGTTAGACTTGGGTGTGATTTACTGTGTGCCTCGGTGTATGGATACTGACTTGCAGATGGTGGGAAGCCTAGTGCATCTGCCCCAATCCATGATCATGAGAGTTTTCTGGTGGCAGCCATGCTAGTGGCATTTAAGTGGCTGACCTGTGCCTGCTTTTTGGCCAGAACCACTGCCCAACAGAAAATGAAAGTAAGAGTGACTTACCACTGCTGAGTTACAGCACTAAATATGGTAAGAAGGGGTTCTGTTTGGAGTCGCAGGTAGTCAGATAGAATGAAACCAAAGTCAAGAAAGCAATCAAGAAATTTTATTACACTCTGTAACAGAGTGGGCCCTGCCCTAATGTCTGACATGCCCCAACTGCCCACTGTGAGGCCTCTTTTATGAAATTGTTGGCAGGGCAGAGAATTTCTTGATTGACAGTTCTTGGCCATTCTAGGTCTGATCTGACTGGTGAAATGAGGGCATAGGCTGCGCTGTGCCTGTACTCTGATGTTTTTTTTCTGGGGAGACCCTGGACATTTCCTGAGTCACTCTTGTCCTGTGGCTTCATCTGATTAACTTCCTGAGTAATTTCTGGCTCTCTGGCTTTATCCGATTAACTCCAAGTCAATTTTGGTGGGCCCCATCTCTCTTTCCATCCCGCTCATGTCTATCTTTCTGCCTAACATATACATATTCCTTCCCATCTAGTTTATCAGAAATAGGTAACATATTTTATACCTAGCAACTTAAAAGTTATACATGTAAGGCCTACTATTTGAGTAATTAATATGTGTCAGGAGCTTTATATATATTTTATACTTGACAGGAACTCTGTGATAGGAAGAACTAACATAAGTTGATTGATTAGGAACTGAGGTTCAGAGAGATCAAGCAACTTGCCCAAGGTCATATACCTGATAAATGGGATTCCAGAATTTTCACCAATGTCTGACAGTGAAACAAGTTATTTGACATTGAGTCAAATAACGCTTGGATTAAACTTCCTCCCATATATCCAGTTTAACCACTGGTAAGCACTCCCTCTTCCTCCTATACCATAATTTTTTACATTAGTGACACCTACATGGCTTGTACGCTGTGTATTCCTCTTATGTTCCCAATCAGATTGTAAACTTCTGGAGGGCAGGGACCAGCTCTATATTCTCACTAAGTTACATATAATTGGTGTAAGTAGAATATTTTAAACAAAAGACACCTGGAAGATGGCTAGAAATGTGGAGTCTAGGAGTAAGAACAGGGACAAGAGTATTCATTTAACAATTTAGTGAGCACCTGGACCGTGTTAGATGCAGAGGACACAGTGATGACCACGTTAGTCGGGGTTCCTGCTCTCACGGGTATTCATTGTAGAGGTCAGGGTCAAGACTAAGGATGTACCACACAAAGGACAATTTACCTCCGTGTTCCTCAGCAGAAAAGAAAATCAAGGAGTCTCATCTGCAGGGTTCTGGCAGTCCTGCAGCACACTGACATGAAAAAGACACAGAAGTACGACGTCAAGTGAAACGCTTCCATGTGATAGAACTTGACCCGCCAGAGGTCTAGGGCCCGGTGTGATGGGAGATAAAGGGCGCAGAGTTCAAGGCGCGCGTCCCAGATAAAGGGGTGTGGCCGCCCAGCCCCTGCCCCCAGCTTTTCCACCCGTTGCCACGTTCCGAAGCACCAGGACCTCGGGTGGTGGGGTCTTCCCCGTTCACCACGAGGAAAATGGGGCGCTCTGGCGGGCGCCAGCTCCTCACCTCACTCTGTTAAATGCCCCCAACTGTCCCTCATAGGCGGAGCCCGGTCCTGGTGGGCGGACGGGGGTGTCCGGACTCCACGAGGATTGAAGAATGAGGGCGGCTGGGCGGCGAGGTCCTCAGAACCTAGACTCCTCACCACAAGCCATTAAATCCTCTACGCTTTCCCCCCTCATTACCCTCGCTCCGCGGATACTCCCCCGACTCCTCACGCCTCCGGCTCAAGACCTGGGGGCGGGACCAGGGGATCCAGGCTGCGCGAGAGTTCCGCCGAAATACCGCGAGACTCGCCTGCGGCCTCTGCCGCCGCCTCTTACGTCTTTCCCTTTGACAAGTCGCCGCTGCTGCAGCAAAAATAAAGGACGCGGCCGCCGTAGCTGCAGCCGAGCCGTGCTCGGGTTGTCGGAGCCGCGCCCCAGCACCCCCAGCTCCGGAGCAGCGTACGGTAAAGTCTCCTCTTCTGCCCTCTTGGCTGCCTGTGCGTGTGTCCGGCCGGCCAAGCAAGGCAGGCCCGGGCCGTTCCGGGACAGCCCCGGGGCCGCCGGGGTCCCGGTTGAGCGGCAGGCGGAGGCCTGAGGGAACCTCCCGGCGCGGTGTGGCCCCCCCCCCGGCCCCCGAGGCCTCTCGCCGCCCGGGCGCCTACAAAACCGCCTTAGAAGCCGGGCCCCTCGCCTCAGAGGGCGGAGGGACCCGCCCCTCCAGCGGCTCGCTGTACCTGTCCGTCGGTCGCGTCTGTGACCTTCTCCCCCAGCCCTTTTCTCCGCTAACGAGCGCCCCTCCCCCGGCCTGCGCTTGGGTCGGGGGGCAGCAGCCCGACTTCCTTTCGGGATCCGAGGAGAGTCGCGACTATGGTGCCCCGTCGCCGGCCGCCTTTTGAAGGGTGGAGGTTGGGACAACGTCTCTTTTCTCCTTTCTTCTGCTTTTAGGTGGGGGCAGCTTTTCATCGGGTAAACCTTTCTGCTAATCTCCGGTCTCGATAAAATAACAGTTTATAAAGCCACTGCTACCTGGAGGGAAGACGAGATGCATTGTTTAGTCTGTGGGGTGAGATGAAAATGACGATGACAGGAGCTGTCTCAGGAAACGTGATGGAACCTGTTCTGTGATGGGTGGCAGGTTCATGGGAGACACGCAGAGGACCGGAGTTGGTACCACTTCTCCCAGGAGGTTATGTAAAAGACATGCTTTCCATTCTAGAGAGCTGTGAAACACAGGGACAGAATTCGCCTTAATTGCAAAATAATGTCCATAATGCTGTAGAAAATAGGGATAGTCAGAGTAATAGTAATACTAATCTGAACTATAACCTATTCTTGTAATTCCATTTCCAGAGATATCATTTCATGGTTAACATTTTGGTTTATTTTCTAACAGACATTTAATTTTTTCAAATAGTACTTGGGTCAGCCTTAATTGGGACTTCCCCATTCTATATATGTTCCAAAAATGATTTGTTTTATTTGCGTCACTTCTTTGGCCTGTTTGATTAAACCTGGTTACTTGTTGATTAGCACTGGCTGTACCCCTGTCATCGCTATCTCTTCCATTGGGCTCTCTTCCAAAATGATTGTTTGTTAAATGGTTTAAAAATAATTTAAAAATTATTACCTGCTAGGAACTTTTCTTACAATTCTGCCTGTGGAGGTTGCTGAAAAGGAGCAGTGTTAGTGGAAAGCAAACAAACTATGATTATTCAGAGTGGGAAGAAACCTGTTTACCTCCAGATTTATAAAACTGATTTCTGTTGGGTATTTTTAGACCCCAGTCGTTATGTGACATTGTTTCATAGTGCTTTGGGATTGGGATTGCGCCTTTGATTATGTAGGTTTGTACGGTGTGTGTTTATACAAGCAAAATTGAGTGTTTTAGGTGCATATGTGCATGGGTTTGTGTATTATGCACCTATACACGTTTGTATATCTTGAAAGTGAGTTAAAATGTATTGTTATATTATTTGAGAAAAGAAAGCATTAGGCAGGGCAAAAAGAGGTCATGTTATATTTCCCCCAAATCACATGGCAGGATTATATGGCAGAATGAGACGTCTAGGGAGGTTGGAAATCTGGAGGCTTTTAAAAATAGGATAGATTGTCATCTGTCTGGGGTTGTCTTTGGAATAGATTAAATGGACTATTAAGACCTGTTGTAATTCTAAACTTTTATGAATTTTGCTTTACCTAAGGTTCTTATCACTTTGCTTCTTAAATTTCTAGTCGTGCTGTTTGCATGTGGCACTTACCCATTTGTTTGCTGGTCATGCATTCCTCTCCCAAATGCAGGAATCCTGGTGGTGCATGGAGGAGAAAGCACATTGTTTGCTTATTAATAACATAAACATCTCCTGAAAATTCTGTTTGATTAAAGGACTTTCAAAGACTGTTGTTATCGGGTTGGATTGGTTAGTAGAGGCTGCATGTAATAAATAACAATATAATTCTAATGTCCAAAGCTTTTCCCAAAAAAGACTAAATTACTCCTTAATATTTGAAATAAAAGACTGGATACATTGGATGGTTTAATCTTTAAAAATTCAGATTTTTAAGCACTTAAAATAACAATAATGATGACTTTGTGTTTTTGGGGTGTGAAGAAAAGTTTGTGTTAGGATGAAAGCAAATTGATGTGAAACAAAATTTGAATTTTATAGTTGGACAACTGTAATAATAAATAACAAACTTACTGTAATTTTTTGAAGATAATTTCTTAATGTAAATGAAACTTTGGCTTAACAGACAAATAAAATTTGTTATTATGGGCACATACCACAGATTATCATGATGTTGAAAACATAAAAAATTGGTCATGTCATTATAAAGTATATAAGGCCAGTAAAGTCATAACAGCTAGCAATTTTTTTTTGACTAAAAGAAGTATAGGGAACGTAAAATATATAATTTACTTTTTAAGATTGCCAGATCTGATTTTTATGATTTTTGTTTGTTCTGCTGTCAGTTACTGGGCTGTCTAGATTAATGAAAATATTAAATTCCAGATGAGATCCCTGAGAATGGAAATATGACAGTAGCATAAGATGATCTATTGATAGAATTTACTTATTTACTTTTAACTGTTTATTTTGAAATAATGTTAGACTTACAGAAATGTTGCTAAGATAGTACAGAGAGTTCCTATATACACCCAGCAACCGCTAATGTTGGTGATCTTCGTAACCATAGTACACTGATCAAAATCAGGAAATTAGCATTGGTATAATCCTACTAAGCCACAGACTTTATTTGAATTTCACCAGTTTTTCCCATAATGTCTTTTTTTCAGTTTCAGGATCTAATCCAGGATCCCACATTACATTTAGTTGTTGTGTCTTCTTAGTTTTCTTCGGGATGTGATAGTACTTCAGTTTTTCCTTGTCTTTCATTATCTTGACACTTTTGATGAATACTGGTTAATTATTTTGTAGAATTTTCTCATTTGGAATTTGATGTTTTTCTCCTCATTAGACTGAGGTTATGTAAGTTTTCCAGAAAACCACTGAAGTGATGTGTCCTCAGTGCATATTAGAGGGTACATAGTGTTGATATATGTCTTATTGCTAATATGCTTGATTTCTTTGTTAAGGTGGCCTCTGCTTTATTCTCCTCTGTAAAATTACTACTATTCTTCCTTTTGTAATTGATCCAAATCTTGGGGGAGGTACTATGAGGCTATGCAGATATACTATTTCTCCTCAAACTTTCTCCTGCTTATTTTAGCATCCATTGGTGGATCTTGTCTGCAACAGTTATTATTGTGGTGGTTGCTTATTGGTGATTTTGTATTTCCCTCATTCCTTCTACATATATTTCTGAAATTCTTCTGCAAGGAAGAGATGTCCCTTCCTCATTTATTTATTCAGTTATCTGAATAATTTATATATTTATATATAAGTATTTATGTAAGTATTATATTTATTTATATAAGTATTATCTCATGGGTATTTATTTTATTCTATGGGTAATCCAATAGTGTCATTTTATTGCTCAGATTGTTCCAGCTTTGGCCTTTAGGAGCTCTTTCAGGTTGGCCTTCACCCTTTTTGGAGCATTTCCTTGTATTCTGGCACCATTGCTCATCTTGTATCTTTCCTTGTGCCACTCTTGTAATCAACCACCCCTCTAAGAAGCTCTGGTTTCTTTTATTGCAGGATAAAATTTAAATCAAGATCTGGATGGTAGGCATGTTCATTGGGCTGCCATTGCTTCTAGGCCCTCAGAGGACAGAGCTAGGAAATACATGTACATACACTAACCCACCCAGCATGCAGGTGAGCACACACACATGTTCCCTAGGATTCATATTGATGTCTTTATTCTAGTCCAACACCTCAAGGTTCATTCAAGCTATCTCCTTTTCTTACTGTAACTTTTTTGTGAGAAACCTGGCTCTCATTTTCAATAGCAAACTAACTTAATTGGTTAACTTTTAGAATGCACATCAAGTAGTTACCAATTGCTAACCCATACCCTTATGAGAAACATTTTCTAAGTGCAGTATTTGTGTACAGTTTTTTTTTTGTCTTTAGCCTTACAGTATCTAGTCAAAATATTGCTTTCTAAATCTACCTAGGTTAGCTTTTTTCCCCCACTCCCTTTAGTGTGGTTGGTTAGGGTTAGAAGTGTAGTTAGGTTCTTTATGTACTATTTGTGGTATGTTTTGGGTTCTCCCAGTCCTGGTTGATTTTAATTTCTTATTTATTTAGATATATGAGCATTACTATTATAAATATTACTACATAAAAAGATATACTCAGAGAAGTATCACTCCTTATTCCTACTACCGCATTCCTATTACCCCCTTTTCCCCACCTCTTTTCCATGCCCTGTAGATAACCACTCTCTTCATTTTTTGTTTATCCTTTGATTATTTCTTTCACACAAATGAACAGATTGTGTATATTTTCTAATATTCCTTTTTTTTTCTCATACAGGTTTTTAAATTTTGATAAAATTCACATACCACAAAACACCTTTTTAAAGTATACAGTTCAGTAGTTATATTCACAAGGTTGTGTAACCATCACCATATCTAAATTCAGGAACGTTTCCTTCATCCAAAAAGAAACCCTGTATCCATTAGCAGTCACTTCCCATTTCCCCCTTCACCAGCCCCTGGTAACCACTAATTTGCTTTCTGTTTGTATGAATTTGTCTGTTCTGGACATTTCATGTAAGTGGAATCATATAATATACAGCCTTTTGTACCTGGCTTCTTTCATTTAGCATAATTATTTCAAGGTTCATCCATCTTGTAGCGTGCATCAGTATTTTATTCGTTTTTGTGGCTGGATGGTATTCCATATATGAATATACCACTTTTTGCTCATCCATGCATCAATTTATGGACATTTGGTTTTTCATTTTTTGGTTATTATGAGTAATACGGCTATGAACATTCCTGTACAAGGTTTTGTGCAGACATAGGTCTTTAATTCCTTTGGGTATATACCTAGAAGTGGAACTCCTCAGGCATATGGTGACTTTATGTTTGACTTTTTGAGGAACTGCCAAACTGTTTATTCCCTTTTTTCTTGTATGAAGGTATAAGATACATAGATATAAGAAGTTAAAGATACTCTTTTGCACTTTACTTTTTTAACTTAATAACATATCCTGAAATTCACTCCAAATCAGTTCATTCTTTTGAAGAAATACTCTTTTTTTTTTTTTTTTACAGCTGTGTAGTACTCTGTGAGTTGTTACCTGTGTTTTACAATTATAAACAATGTTTCAGTAAATGACCAGTGCATATATATTTTTGTATTATTAGAAATGTATCTTCAAGGTAGATTCCTGTAAGTGGAACTGCTGGGTCCAAAGTTAAGTGCATACAGTAGTTCCCCCTTATCCACAGTTCCAATTACCTGTTATCAACCCTGGTCAGAAGGTCACTAGTAGCCTAATGCTTTGTCACAAGATTTATGT